TTGCCACTATTTAGTCTATTTATGACCGCCACCCCGGACCATCTCCTTCCTTTATAATGCAACGGTCAACTATTAAATATTCAATTAAAATTGTTGTTGCAATGAGATTAAGCTATTCGCGAAGTTTCAGGCGGATGTAAATAATTTGATAAAAAGGGGTCAGTACCACGGACTAATATCGCTACTGTTAGGGCAAAAGGTCTTATGCAACAATATTTCATGTTTATTCTATTTGTTCTAAAGTTTTATATACCTTGGGTCTGAAATAAATAGCAAAAATGACATGGCTCAAGAAATACAGAGAAGATGTGTCTTTGGACTTGGCCGGCACTTAAGAAGTAGGTATCTCTCAAAGAAGACCAAGCTGATCATACACAAGACTCTTGTACGGCCTGTTTTGACATATGGCTCAGAGGCTTGGACGATGACTAAAAACGATGAGATGAAGCTGAGTGTGTTTGAGCGAGGAGTCCTCAGAAGGATTTATGGTCCAGTAAAGGAGGGTGATGTCTGGAGGAAAAGAAAAAATAGGGAGCTCAGTTCTCTTTATACAGACATCGACGTAGTCACGTATATTAAACTGGCCAGATTAAGGTGGGCAGGGCATGTGGCCAGAATGAGCAACGTTGAGATACCCAAGAAAATAATGATGGAGGAGCTGCACCTCGCAAGACGAGTAGGAAGGTCGAGAACGAGGTGGTTGGACAACGTGGCTTATGATGCGAGAATCCTGCTTGGTGTACGGAACTGGAGAGCTGCAGCAAAAGACAGAGCCAACTGGCGGAGGCTCTTGGAGGAGACCCAGTCTCGGTAACGGGATGTCGTGCCACATATGATGATGATGATTCTATTTGTTCTAAATGTAGTATGCTACACAGGAAAATAATATAGGACAATAAAATATGAAATCATACTAATAAATCACAAAGAAATAATCAGCTTTTATGCTCTTCTGTGAAAAAAACTCAATTTTTACACACGACCTTTTGCACTAACAGTAGCGATATGTGCCTTGACAGACAATATTCATGAAAGCCAGACTCAATATCCGTTCTTTAATCCCGGAAGAAGAAAAAAAAAAGCAAAGCCATTCAACAGTAGCCAGTATTCAAATATTTTTGGACGATAGGATAGGCACTAACCCCCGGCATTGTAAATTCGCTACCTTTGAGCAGAAAATCCAACGGCTATTCTCCTGTTGAGGCCGCTGACACTTAGGATGGCGGATTACCGCCCTAGTCCCCTCTAGTGATATATTTTAATCCGACCATTCATTTCCTGTTTAATGAAAAATGGGGGGTTTAACCTCACTGAATCGATTCCTTTTGTCTGTGGCATGATATATATTACAGTTTACTAGTATAGAAAGAGCTAACTGTAAGGCTGGGAGCGATGATTGATATTACCAAGTAATCATATTTTTTTTTTTTTGGATTAAGAAATATATTTATGATATACTTATATACGTAGACCCTTATAAATTTACGCCTGCCTTATAAATTTTATTTTCTAATTAAAAATTATCCATTTATTATTTATTGAATTATCAAGGAGTATGAGATTTCCTAAACAGGAGAGCTAATATTCGAACTAATTTTAAATAATTGAACAGTGACATTTCATAACCTTAACTAATTAAGAACTTTGAACAATTTTACTTTTATAAAATCAGAAAATTTGCGCTTGATGAAACAATATTTGATATATATATATATATATATATATATATATATATATATATATATAGGTTTTTTTTTATTTTCACGTCTTTACAGTGTTCTTGTATCGATAAATAAAGTTGAAATTCATAGAAACATTTTTGAAAATTAATCTTTATAAAAAATCCACTTATGGGAAGTTACGGACGTGGGATCATCGATTTCAATGATACTTTTTTTTTTTATGATACTTGATCGAAAATTATTTGACCCATGTCCGAGGATTTTCGCCAATGATCCCCAAGAAAAAAAAAATTTCAATATGATTTTTTTCAATATATTTGGTTGTCCGAAAAATAATGCAGAATTTTGAGTTTTCTGTAAAACACTCCTGTTTTTTGTGAAAGCTATTATGCCCGATTGTCGCGTTGCGGCAAATAGTGAAAACAGATCAGATTAGATTTAAAAAATAAAATTTGAATCGCGCCAGCTACGAGATCCTCTTCTCCCATTCCAACGTACGGATTCCCAGAGGCAACAACTAAAGTAGACTGTAGGGCCCTCTCACTTAAGTAAGATGTCTATGCCAGCATAAAAGGGTGAGTTTATTTTACACAATTCATATAACCTACCACTTAATCAAAATACAGTCCACTGCCACAATAAGTCGAATGTTGCCTATGTTGAACTCATTACGAGTCATTTACCTTTGCTTTAATTAAATTTGGAAAGTTACCTAAACAATCCCTCTATATAACAAACTGTTTACGTTTACTGAATAATTAATTTGCATGAATGTCAACACTTATTAATCCTCTTCCAAATGATAATGTTTGTTTACCTCTGTAGCATTTCGGTGCTTAGAAATAATTCAGTGTTTACTAAGATTTCAACGCTTGATTTTCGTATAATTTTGTTTTACGAGTTTAAACTCGACCGGAATGGGATCCACACGGCCAGAAACATCAATCAAGTCTGGGGCGAGAGCTGCATTAATGAGTGCACTGTTCAACGGTGGTTCAAACTATTTCGTGAGGGAGAGTACAGCCTTAAAGACAAAGGAAGTCGTGGAAGGACTTCCTCTCTTGATGACGATGTTCTGCGGGCATTGGTGGAAGAAAATCCCAGAACAACTGTTCGAGAACTTGCAGTGAAACTTAATCTTACCACCATGATGACCACCTCAAGGCGATTGGAAAGATAAAAAAGCTTGAAAGTTGGATTTCACACACATTAAATGACCGCAAAAAAAAAAAAACAGCGTTATGAAGTTTATGCCACACTTCTTTTCCGAAACAAAAACGACCCTTTTCTGTCCAGAATTGTTACTTTTAATGAAAAGTGGATATGTTACGATAACAGTAGACGTTCTGGACGACAAAGGAGAAGCATCAAAACATTTTCCGAAGCCCCCAACTCATCAAAAAAAAGGTGACGGTTACCGTTTCGTGGACTTCTTTTGATTTGATATACTATAGCTTCTTAATTCCTAAAGAAACCATCAATGCTGAATTGTAACCAAATTAATGCAATGAGTTAGAAATTGGCAATAATAAAGCCATCTTTAGTCAATCGGAAGGAGCACTATTTTGTTACATGACAACTCCCGGCCACATATCTCACGTGTAACGTCAAAAAATTGTTGGAGCTTGGATATGGAACTCTGCCACATTCGCCCTACTCTCCGGAACTTTCGCCTACGGATTATCGTTTTTTTAGACAGCTCTGGATCACTACTAACTAATGGAGAAAGAGAATTAGAAAATGCGTTTTTGGAGTTTATCAATTCTAAAGATGAGAAATTCTATTCCGAGGGAATGGAAAAGTTGCCAACACGTTGGCAGAAATTTATTGATTGTAGTGGAGACTATTTTGATTAAATAAAACAGTTGTAAATATTTCTTTCTTTTTTTTAACCAAAATTCTGCATTATTTTCCGGAAAACCTATTAGATTAACCTACAGATCCGATTCTAATTGCTTCATGGTCTACACCAATATTCAAGAAAATTCAACAATAATTTAAACTAATATAAGTAAAAATAGGAAATCTCGGCAAACTAATAAAGAGTAAAGTAAAAAAAAAAACTAATATAAAGTAAAAAACCTAATACAAACTAAAATTGTAAATCTCGGAAATCTAAAGTAAGATAAGGTTAAAGTTTGATTCTGAATCGAGTTTATATTATTGGAATTGCTTTAATTTTTAAGAAGACTTTTCGATAACTGCCGGACTCGAACAAGAACGAGAAAGCTATCTCCCTTTAGTAGCTTTCATATCAGAATTACGATTTACAGGTAGGCGTGGGAAGGTAGTAATTCTCTGAGTTGAAGCCCTCCCCTCTTCCTAATTTTCATAAGTGATCGTTTATTCTCGTTTAGGGCCATGTACCAGACCTAGACTTCGTTTCTCTCTCAAACACCCTATAAATACCGTTCGTTATGATATCTAACTGACCACTCAAACCTCTTCAAAATGTTTTTAAACAATCTATACCCTTTCTTCTGACAATATATTATTTCTGTACTTCACTTAGTTATGCATGTTATCTTCATAATTTTCTTACCCCCACCACTCTCTTTCTGTCGCTGAAAGAGCGTTACTTATTTGTTTTATATATACATATATGGTAACATATTTGTTTTCTATTCATGGTTTTGAAAATATATATTATTATGTACATATATATCTTTTTCTATTCAGACTATACTATTCACATACATTTTTTTTAGAGATTATTATTTTTTCTGATGAATAATAATTCTTAGCAATTCAAATTGTATTGCTTCATTTCAGTATTTATAATACAAAATCGTTTAGAAAATATGGAAGTCATATTTTTCTCTTTACAACATATAGTCCTATCATTTTGAATGAAATCTTAAAATTCCATGAATTAAACCCATCCTTCAATAGTTGGCTGTTATCATTTAATATCATTCTAAAAAAAATGTTTAGAAAATAAAAATGTTATGTTGATAATTTTTTTAATTAATTCAATTTTGAATTGCATGAGTACATTTTTATTCGAAACTAATTCCTTTAGATAAGTATTTAATTGCTTTGGAGTTTAATTAAGCTCGTCCTAGTGGTCACCAGTTTGTAGACTGCTGTAAATAGTGTAAGGTGCTAACTGCATTCCCTATAACATGGTATATATAAGAGAGAGGGAAAGATATAGTTTATTGTTCAGACAAAAAAAAATTATTTGAGGAAACCAATTACCATTCTCCACCACTGTAAATATAATCCCCTAATTGAATAGATTGACATTTAAAAAAACACAGAACCATCAACACATCAATCACTTCAAGAAATCTACCTTCAAACAATTTGTCTTAGGTCTCTCTGTGGTGTCATTGGACAAGGCCCTGGAGACGAACCACCTTTCGGCAAGGGTGGGTGACAATGTGGAGATTAAGTGTGACGTAAGTGGAACGCCTCCCCCTCCTCTTGTCTGGCGAAGGAACAAGGCAGACCTGGCTCTGTTGGCTGAGGATGATGTGAGAGTCTTTGCCGATGGAAGCCTCTACCTCACCAGGATACAGCTCCTCCATGCAGGCAACTACACCTGCCATGCTCAGAGGAACACTGACATCATGCAGACTCATGTCCTCACTGTACACAGTAGGTGCAATTGTTGTCATAATATCTGCACAATGTTTTATAGGAGAGAACTAGCAACTTCCCCTTCCTGAACATTTCTTGTAAATAATACAATAAATTCCACAATTTTACTGTGCATATTACCTCAATTCTATATTAAAAAAATAATTTACTAAAACATAATTCTCTGGAATTCATAAGTAACACAGGTTTAAAGTGCTAAGGGCAAAGGGATGCCAAGGTCTCTTGGTTCCTCATCTATAGGTCACCATAATTCTATCTTAACTGCCTAATAATCAAGTTATGAGAACAACTGAATGATACTGTGATTTTTTCTCATCCCATCCTTGGTGTGTATATTAATAAAAATTTTATAAAGTAAATTATTTTATATCCACCTTACGTTGGTAGAAACCGGGTACATTATTGTATAGCTTGTTAAAAAATTGTGTTCTGAAATTATCGGTACTTCAAAATTTCCCAGCATCTAGTTTCAAGCAAATTCCTCTGGTATGAGGAATGGTATTTTTTTTTTCTGTTCCTCCTTAATTTTATTTTAAGTAATACATAACTTATATAAATAACTTATATATTTGTGTGTTATATATTTGTGAGATTATTGTTTATATAAATTTCTTCAACTACAGAAATTCATCTTTTAATACAACTGAAAAATATATTTTTTTTTAATTGAACATATTTTTTAGTAGCATTAAAGTTACATGGGCCATGGATATTCAGTCCTATTATATAAATAATGAATCTTTCATTGTGAATCTTGCACCTGTCTTTCTTCTATAGCCCTCAGGCCTAAAACTTAGGCCAAACTGTTGGCACACATTTAAATAAGTTTTCTTATTTGTGTGCTTTTTCATCAAGACGATCAGTAATTAACATCTTAAAAAATTCAACTCTAATAAATATTTATATATTGTGTTCATATTGTTTTTATTTATAATTTAAAAAAATTGAAATGATTATAATTAATTCTGTCATTTATAGCTATACCAGAAGTAAAAGTAACTCCAAAGATACAATCTCGAAGGCCTGGAGAAGAAGCTTCCATGTTTTGTCATGTTATTGGCGAACCATTCCCTAAAGTAAGACTTTTACTTCCTTTTAGTTAACTATTACTGAAATTGTTCTGAATAAATATACAGGGTGTCCCGTAAGTAAAAGGAAATCTTTATAAGAGCGATAACAGATCTCAAGATCTATAAAAAAAGTTTAGATAAGTAATGGGCCTATTTTCAGCAGAAAAGTAGAAGCAGAAAGAAATTCAAGTATTGTTCTTTTCAAAGTGTCATATTTTTTGTTGAATATTAAGTGATAAATAAAGAAATAATTAATTTAATTAATTAACAATTCCTTCACTGTAAAATAGACAAAATTTACTTTAAATGAAAATAGAGTTTGTCATTGTTAAAATCATTTAAAAATAACATTCGAGCGGCTAAACTAAGGTAAGTTCTATTTTTTAAAAAATCATAAATTATTCCTGCTTTTTTAATTATCATTCAAATATACTACAGATACTCCACCTTTAGGAAAACTTCCTTGTTTAATAAGCTTCAAGTTAACATTTATTAAAATGATGTTTACATGGTAAAAACTTGAGAATCACCTGAAGTTGTGTAAAAAAATTATGTGATTTTTATCCAGTCACCTATATATAAGTACTCATGTTTTCAGCAATAATGACTACAAATAACTATTGCAAAGCTTTTATTTCCATCATCTGAGATGTATTGTAATAAACGTAATTTCCAAAATATACTTTTTACTTATAAAAAAACAAAATATTAAAAATAATGATTTTTCAAATATTTTTCATGTAAAGTGGTTATAAAACATTTTAATAAATGTGAACTCGAAGCTTATAAAATGATGAAGTATTTTGTAAAATTGGGGTATTTGTAGTATAGTTGGGTGATGATAAGACAAAATCGTGAATAATTTAGGATTTTTTTTAAAAACAGAATTTAGCTTTTTAAAAGTATCCTTTAAATGGTTTTAATATAATATCAAAGAAATCGTTGGAGAACTGTCGGAGATTAGCTGTTTTGAGCAAACTACCATTTATATTTTTATTTACGTACACTATTTCATATTTTTATTTATTGATAACGCTAAAGCTTGTCAGATATTAAACAGTAAAAGAAGTAAGCAAATCGGTAATCATAATATAATGTTCTCATTCATTCATTCATTCATTCATTGTATTCATGTTAAAGTATTATTATACAGGTTGAATGGCTTAAAAATGATGAGCCTCTGAAATTGAACTCGGCAGCAAATAAATACATATTGATCGGAAATGGTACAGAGCTAAAAGTTCATGATATTACATATGCGGATACTGGAGCTTACATGTGTCAGGCAAGTAACATCGGAGGTGTAACCAGAGATATTTCATCATTAATCGTACAAGAAGATCCTACACCAAGTATGTTGTTGTTTCAATGATTATATGTTGTAATAAAGTCATAATTTATTTTTAAAAATGTATTTTCTGATTTTTTTTTTTTTTTTTTGTTAGCGGCCCCAAATGAAGAAAGAAGATTTTTTTCATTTCATGATTGGGGTGTATCAGTTTATGAACCTAATGCCTGTAGGCTCTATCATCAAATTCAATCAACTGATATCATACCTGGAACCCAGGTAAACTAATTATGTTGATTTATTCTATTAAAATTAAGGGTAATTAGATAAAATATTTATTTATGAACCAATTTATCAACAACACAACTGCTAAGTATGAATTATTTTTATTCTTAGATTTGTTTCTCATTAATTAAAAACCGGGATTGATAGACTTATGTTCAAAGTAAGAGTTTATATATATATATATATATATATATATATTACATTTTTACAAGTATAGAGTGGTGAAACTCATTGCTAAAAACTGGTGAAACCTTTAGCTAATAAGAAACCATTGGCTTTTCTAGGGTTTTTAATATAATAAAATAAATTATTATTCAGTTGTTGGATTTTAATAGTATATTATATGTTTATAATTCTTCAAAACGTCAAGTTTTTTAAATACAAGTGGGAAATACAATAAATGATTTCATATTGAAAGAAGAAAAAAAAAAAAAAAAAAGAATATATATATATACATATTTTGACCAAACTGCTAAATGAATAAGATATTAAATGGTGAAAACATACATAAAAGCTATTAAATTTAATAATGATTTTTGAAGAAACTAAAGTTGATGTTGAATAAAATTTACTTAAAATCAATATTTATGTTAATTAATGAAGAGAAGAATAGTTGGGGTGCTCAGTCAAAAAAGGAAGGCAAAAAATAAATTATAATATTAATTTTTTACATATGCCGATGTTTCCTTTTTTGACTGAGCACCCCAACTATTCTTCTCTTCATTATCCATGACAGTCAACCAATTACCAAATATTTATGTTAATTAATTAGTTTTTGTTTCAGGAATATGTATGTGGAGATAAAGGAGTAAACTGTAGTTGGGGACAAGCAATAAATGTTGCGAACCGATATGTATATGTAACTCAGCCTATGAAAGACAGGGTTTTGGTTATCAGCAAGATACAGATGGTGGTCGTTGATGTAAGTGATTTAGTGCACAGTTTTTTGCTAGTAGCTATAATTAAATTTATCCTCGCTGTTTTAAATTACTGATTATAATAAATTAAGTTTTTAAAATCAATTTAAATCTATGAAAGTAAGAAAGAAATTCAAATATATTGTAGATTTAGATCAGGTGAGGTCAATAATAATGACACAAAAAAAGCATTGATAAACTACGAAATGAAAAGTCAATTCGAGATCAATACTGTTAACAGGTAAAATCAATTGAGTGATTTACCTTAACTCATCTGATGTCCCACCATTCCAACAAATATATTAGAAACACATGTATAAACGATGAACTCAATGAATCTTTTTATTAAGTTTTATCATGACGGGAAAGTAGAAATTTACATCTCCTCAAAATGAAATGCTGCTAATTATTCCTATTCCAGGTTGTAGTAACTGATAAACGACCAGTCGCACTCCATTATGTGCCTCATCTCGACCAAGTTTGGGTCCTCAATTGGAGAAGCCACTTAGATCAAGGAATCAAAACCATTCAAGTTATCAGAGATGCTTCTCAGAAAAGAAAACACCATACCGTCCATCCTGAGCCAATAGATGGTCAGTTCGATCTCGTCAGGGACTTATTCATGCCACCAGTTCAGGTAGCACATTTGCGTCCTTAATATTACAATGAAAATTTGTAAAGCTGCAGAAAATTTGTAGAGTGGACCAAATAATCACTTTTTTCTCTTTTTTAGGATATGTCACATGTATTCAAATATGGCTATGTGAGCCATACAAACCAAAGAGGACTGTATAAGCTGGATCTCGCTAACATGCGATATGTGCGCAGCATCGATCTTGCTCCTTACAATTGTGTTCCAAGGTCAATGCAGTTCTCTGCTCTTTGTAAGTATTTTATGAAATGCATTTACACAATCACTAAAAAAAAATGTGAATACATAACCTTTATTTTGAATTTATTAAAATATTTTTCTTAATGTGAAATAATTTCATTTAAATTTATAATTTCTTTATTTTTTTTTCTTTCTTATTCCATTCCCTAGTCCTTTTATTTATTTATTTATATGATTAAACAATAACTTTGGTGAGAAATCTATATCTTAGTTTTAAACTGTCTTTATTTATTTTTATTATTTTTTTTTTTTTTGTACTTCTGATTTGGCTTCAGCCTGCTGAGGATATAGGAATAAGTAACTATGTTAAATTTGTTGCAGATGGTTTTATGATAGTCGAATGTGAGGAAGCAGTAACAGGGAGAGCCACAGGCCAGTTAGTGATGGATGCCCTAACTGACACCGTCATCATTCAGCATATTGAACTTTTGGGTAAACCGTATGTAGCTCCCGACAGTCGAACAGTTGTCACTATCGATAAGTCTCTTCAGGGAGTTACACTTGTTGTTCAGCAGATAACAGGTACTTATATATTTAATTTTGTGATAGAAAGGCACTTTAAAATACATCTACAGATAATCTTAAAATTGTTATAGATACTTTTTACTGAAATATGTAAATAAGATACCAATACAATTCTCAAGGCCCCACCAGGCAAACGCCACAAGCCCTTTTCACTCTCCTCAAAAATAGAAACTTTTTTTTTTCATTGGGTCATATTTGTTTCTGTGATGGATCTGAATTAAATACTTTAACAGTCACAATATGTATGTATTGGTTTCTCTAATTAACTTTTCTTTTTTTTTAACAGGCCTTCAAAGACCACCTAAACATCATTTTATTTAGTTCCTTTCTTTTCTTCCAGAGTAATTACCTCTTTAAAGAAGTAATTTATTTTTTTTAAATAAAAATACATAAATTAAAAAAAAAAACCTTCCAAAAAAATTAAATCCTGGATCCATTTCATGCAGAGTAAATAAAGCTTATTACTATTGAGGCACAATAAATTTACTCTTGCAAGAAAACGTGTGATTTTCATCTGGGTAGTAACCGAGGTTTGAGATTTAATGTTACAGCAACTTTTTCGTTGAAATCGGCTAACCAGAAGTGGTACTTTATATAATCAATGTAACACATTTTTGCGTTTTTTGTCAAAAATAGCTTTAACGATTTTGATCAAATTATATATATCAGTGTATTATTAAGTGGCCTTTGATATCGTTGAGGTCTTATCCCCATTAATGTCACTTTACAGAGCTTAAATGCTTAAATTTTCAACATGTCTTCCTCTAAAGTACCTTTAATTTATTTATTATTGAATAATTAACTATCTCTCATTATTAAGAGTTATAAAAATAATCCTAAATATAAATTTTTAAAGAATTTGATAATTGAGAAATGAAGAAAAAAGAGAAAATGTTTATTTAGGTCGAAAATGAATTTCCGGAAATACTAGTCAGAAGGTTTACATATAATATATCGTTGGAAAGCGAAGAATTTTAGAAAAAACAATATCTCACATAGAAAGTTATAGAAAGTAATGGAGAGTGACAAAAAATTATAAATAATAATTTGTGAAAACTAATATTATTTAATACAAATCACACATTTTCAAGAAAATTAAATGAAATTTACTAATCCTAACCTTAAATACATTTACTGTAGTTTAATAATTCTACCTAGTCCTGTCATAAATATTGTTACAAGGAAATATATACAGATTTCAACAGAAAAATTAATTTTTTCAAAAAATGTATAAGAAAATAAAATGTATATCAAAAGAAATTACTCAAAATGTCCCCCTTTTGCCTTGACACATGCATTTAATCTCTGTGGCTAGTCATTAATAGCAGCACGCAGCACTTCTTGAGGAAAGCGCTCAACTGCTTGGACCAGATATTCTTAGAGGCTTTCTAAGTTACGGTGTGCTTTGTGGCATGCCATTCCGTTCAGTTCAGACCAATAATCCAGTGGGTTGAGATCAGGGCTTCCTGAGGGGCCAATCCAAGGTAGAGATGAACTCTGGAATGTTCTTTTGCAGTCTCCGCTTAGTTATCCTGGCCTTGTGAGCTGGAGTGGAATCCTGTTGGAAAACCCGATAACTTCCAGCAAACAGACTAACATTTAGAGGCTTGATAACAGGTTCCAAAATATCGTCCTGATAGTTTTTTAGCGTCTGTTTTAATTCTTTTTTCACAAAAATGGAGCTTTGTGGTGCCATCAAAGCTAACTCCCCTCCAAACCATCACTGATGAAGGGTGGTGATCTCTTTCCACTCTTCCAATGACTTCCTGGGCTTCTTTAGAGTTGTGTGCATACACACAATTTTGGCGATTAAATTTTTCTTCACTAGTAACAATTTTCTCATCGCTAAACAAAGTCTTTTGATGAAGACCATTGGTGTAACTGGTAAACTTTTAACTAATATTTCTAATAATGTGTAGCATAATTTTATTATTATGTCATGTGTCATGTATTATCATCATCATCCCAAGCTCGACAATCCATCCATTATTGGATCTTTGCTCCCTCAAGAGTTTTCCTCCACATATATTATGTCAATTATATTACTGTTGATTAAATTTATTTATTTATGTTCTAGATTCTGGTCTCAAATTTTTATTTGATGTTAAAACTACATTGAACATCAGTGACATAACTTTCTACCCATCACAAACTACGCATGGTTATGACCTCTATGCTAGTGCAGTTGACAAAGAAGATATTCTATTTTTGAATTTGTTGACAGGTAAAGAATTAAAGAAATAGAGGTAGTAAGATTAAATTATTAAAAATGTTGAGTGAAAATAATGTTTTGAATATAAAGTAAATGTTTTTACATTAACCCATTTTAGTGTTAATTTCTCAATCAGCTTATGTAAGAACTAATTATTTTAGATTAGGATAGTTTAGTACCCTGAAAATGTTTCATATGCTCTTTGATCTTCCAATAGTATTATTACAATTGTAATTAATATGAAATTTCAGTTCTGGAAAGCAATTAATAGTTATTTTTCTTCTAATCTTCTCAGTTGTTTAACATATTCAGTTGACCTAATTTCACTGAGTTGTTAACCAATTAATGTTAACTACCAAATATTCTGCTTCCTTTATTGTAGGAGATAAACCTTAATTTTTCAACAAGATCTTTATCCAAACCATCAGTAAGATCGATATCAGAATATAAATAAATAATTAAATTTAAAAATATTCATCATAAGTTTGTTCGCTCTTCCTTATTTAATGCTGTAAAGCATCATAGGTAATCATTGTTATACGTTTCTCTCTTTCATTTTTTTTTCCCACTAAACCTTCTATTCTGGTTATCAACTGAATATTCAATATTATGTTATTGTATTTTAAATATTTGAGAAATAATACTAATGTATTTTCATCTTAAATGATTGTTGCTAATTAAAGTTGTAATCAAAAATTATTGTTTTGTGAGGTAAAATAGGTGCACTCATGAAAAATATGGTTTATTGTCAAGTTGCTATTACAATATTGACATTTTGCTGGTGCTTCCTTTTTAGCTTTTTAGTTGACTTTCATTTAACATGGATTCCCTTGGATCGTTAATTTCATTTTAAAAGAGTATGTTCAAATGGTTAATTTTTTTTTTTTTTTTGTCCTCTCCTTCTAGGCTATACTAGGTTTTCCTGGCCCGGGAGTGAGAAAGGTGGATTAATGCCAGAATTAAAAGCCCCCTGTCAACGAGACACAAACTCGTAATTATTTAATCAATTTATCATCCATCAGGTTGCCAGGCATCAGGTGGTGCTGTGTACATAAATTAGCCTGTTCGGCCATCCCACCCTCTAGAAGACCCTCTGGCACCAGGAAGGGAACTCATAATGATTTTAACAAATTATGTTCCATCAGGTTGCCTGCCAGTTCAGTCCTTTACAACAGCGTTCTTCAAACTTTTTGCCCCGCAGGCCACATACATTGAGACCTCCATTAAATCCTGCAGGCTGCATGGAGATCTTTACCTAAGTTTCATTGGCCATTGCTTGTGATAAAAGAAAACTTGTTCTGTAAATGACACTTCAGTAGTAAAATAAGGTTTCTAAAAGAAAAATCCCATGTAATAAATGTTGTAGTAAACTTCTGTTTAAGTAATTTGCTGAATTTAATAATTTTTTAGTTTTTAAAATTTTACTATGTAATCAAAGAAACTTTTGCGGGCCAGATTGAAGGTGTTTGTAGGACATATCCGGCCTGCGGGCCATAGTTTGGAGAACCCTGCTTTACACCGTTTAGGGAATTTATAGTGGTGAAAACGGCAGTTCTATTATCCTTCCCAATATATATCCCACAGAATTCTGTTTTCACCACTCTCACAGATTATTGACACTCTGTGGAATCAGTCACCAATTGGTAATATTATTGTAAAGGAAAATTTAAATTGAAAAATTCATTCAAAGCTTACGCCCTTCTTAAACTTCATTCATTACAGATACTAATTATTAATTTATAAATTCAATTTAATCGTATTTATATAAATGTAACTATCCAATAATCAATAAAAATCATTGTAAAATAACCAATAAATCATTTTAGGTAAAGTTGAGATGATCACAGGAGTCGGCAAAGCTATGGAGCCTTCACTGTCTCAGTGGGGCAACCCCAACAGAGTAATTGAAGCATCGGGTGTCTTCGGACACTTCATGGTCACTCCAGCCAATGAGGCCTTGTTTGTTGTGAACGGAGAGAGCAGAACAGTCAACTGTGAGATAGGTGGCCTAGTCCACCCGAGAGCAGTAGTATGGGTGACAATGCACCTTCAATAGATAGAGAGAGGCTATCAAACCTTTTGACAAACTGCTGGTGGTGATATCACTTCCTGTTTCTCATCTAATAATGTTTTGGAATAAGCATCAGCACAGTTTAATTGTTGTAGCTTAATCTTTTATAAGGCAAGCTTTTCATTTTAAGCTGAATTACTTTTGCTTTTGATTACTGTTGTGATTTAATAATTGATAGCACTTATACATTGAGATAATTATGATTTTGCAATAATTAATATATAGAAACAGGAAGGATGAAGTCACTGCCAGATAATAAAATATCCAGTTCCATACTGAAACCTGATTGTAACTTCTTTGGATTGGAAGCTTTTTAAAGGTTATTTTTTAATAATATAAAATAAGTTATTAAACACATAATATGTTATTGAAAATAACTTATTTTTTTGTATATATGTAAGCATAATAATCATCTGTTATTTTATTTGGTCTACATAAAATTTATTATTACTGAACTAATTGTCTTGAAGATATTAATTTTCTAGTATTGATATATTATTTTTTTTTTAACAGTTCTCTTCAAATTGTGACTAACTAGGTTGAATCTTTATTTTTTTAAAGCTATTATAATATTTATATTTTTCCCTTGGAAAAAATAATTGCTCAACTTTGGGTAGGCTTGTATTCTTATATTAATATCAAAGTTTATGAATCACTCATACCATGGATTAAAAAATATATATATCGTAAATAGATAAAAAAAGGGTGTAGCCAAATACTATCTTGTTGCTATACTGTTAAGTACTACAAAGTAAATATAAGGAAATAAATAATTTTATGTTTAATTTATCAGTCTAATTGCAAAAACTAATTAATAAGAATCAATTTCTCTATGGAACTGTTAATGATTGCTGTAAAAATTGTCAATACCACTTGGAAGATGGTGTACATTTAAAATTATAAATTATGAATTAGTACATTAAGTTCGATAAGGTTTATATTTTTGTAAAATATATTTTCCAAAACAAATATTAATAACTAAAAAAATATTTTCTTTGATTAACATCAGAATATAATTTCAATTTATCCACCTTTAAAAATATCTCCTAGTAGAATTTAAATTATATGTAAATTTACTGTTTACAACTTCCAAGTGGTTATAATATATATTTTTATGTTTCCTTTGTATGATATTTTATTATAAAACAAAAAAAGATGCACTGATAAAAAATTTAGTTTGGATGCTTCAATGTATATATAACCGATCAGTTTTTGATCAAAATATTAGTCATTACAAATGGTAGATTTTTAGCTGTAAGATGTTGTTACAGTTAACGTCCATAATGAATTTCTATGTTTCATTAATGTTAGTATTTTATAATAAATGCTAGATATGATACACAGGTGTTTTCGTTAATCACGTGTTTTACAAAGATTAAAGCACTATAGGAAAAAAAATACCATAGCATAAGGAACATGTTTCTGTGTATCATATCAGTGAGAATCAGTCCTATAGTTAACAAACATGGAAATTTAAGTCAAACCAAATTCATTGAATGCTATATGTTGAATAAGTTAACAACTGGACAAAAGTCTTGCATGAAATGGAAAACTTTTCAAATGATGATACAATTATTGTAGAATCTCCACTATTTGGGGGTTATAATTGGAATGTAGAGATCCATCAAAAAATTGAAAACACCAATAATCAAGTTTCTTCATTGATCTGGTTATTAAAAGGTTAATTAAGAACTAATATAAAGATAATATTACTATTATTATTAGGAGTATCCATTTAATACTAAGTTAGTTAATTTATTTAGGATTTGACTATTTCATTTATAATCTTGCATAAATAAGTATTTATGTTACCAATTACTGGATCTAAGTTACCAATTATTGGGGGTTAAAAAAATCTTACAGAAGGTTAATTTTCTTTCAAATTGAATATGAACTACTATTTATAGTAAAGTTGTTAATAAGTTAAGATAGGTTGATTTGTCTAAGCTTGATTATAAATTGCCAAAGTGAAGACTTCTATTTTATAATTCTTCAAAAGTTTTGTTTTGTTTTTGGTTTTCCCAAAAGCTAATTTTAATTGTGTGATCATGAAATATTGGAACAGTAAATTTCTTTGATGGATGTGTGAACGGAGCTGACTTTTAAACATTAAGACATTTGTTTTATCAATGCTAAAATCAATATGAATGGATTTATGTTTATAGGATAAGCCATATTATTACATGTTCATAATGTGAATGTATATAATGAATATATAGTTATCTCTTATTGTGTGCATATATGTTTTAACAAGGTGAAATCCTTTCAAAAAATAAAATCAAAAGAATAATGGAGGTTCTACTGTGGCGCTATAATAGTTTTTTTTTTTCTTTATGATTTGACAATCAAGAAAGGTACAATTCAGGAAGGAAAAATGCATACTAATTTATTTATTATTATTTTTTTAAAGCATAAGTAGTATATATAGAGTACATTGGTACATTTTTATGCAAATTTTTGTCCTTCGGTTTTAAATAAATGAGTCACATGATGTTTAAATATCCAGGTGTAAGAAACTCTATTAAGCTAAATGATGAACTATTTTTGATTTGATTTATTTTTTTAAAGGAGACATTGGTTATAGGTATTGTTTCATATAATGTATAATATATGTTGTTAACAGCACATGATGTTGAAAATGTTATTACTGAGAACAATTAAATAATCAAACCATTTCGAGCGATTGGTAGATATTAACTTTTTTTTTATGAGAATTTTAACAATTCCGGAATTTTCTATTAGAAAATTGAAAATATATTTTATATGAGTTACTAATACATTTTTTATAATTAATTTTCTTTTTAAAATGTATAATTTCATAATTAATTAATTATTTCTATGAAATTCTACTGATGGCTTCCTCCATTTTATCATTACAATTTTTAGAACTAATAGTTCAATCATTTTAAATGTTTGTGTGTATTGTTAATTACTAAGTGAAGCTATTCAATTTATTATTATCAAAACTTCAAAATGTGAATTCCATAATAGTATTACCAAATAAAACAAGTTACATAGTGTTTAAAAAAAAGAATCATTTAGGACTTTATTAGATATTATATAACTGCCTTAAGATTATCAAATCCATTATTTACAATATTCAGAACTTGTTTCTAATCATGGATGTGAATTTGGTTTAGCATTAAAAGAGAAAAATATTATAAGAAAATTTTACTTTAAGAAACTATTCAAAGCGCAGATGATATTTAAAGGAAATAAAGTGCCTGCCGAATCTTAGTCTTTGATTGTACTTTTCATCTAAAAATATAATAAAAAAACGATTGTGCATATCATTCTTCTAAGTAAGTTATGACCAAAGTTATCACTTTGTTTTGATGTACTAAATTTGATATTGTCCCAAAGTTATCTTAAATAAGTAAAACATCTTAAGAATATCTGAGTGTGACTAAAAAATAATTGGTACTTGAAAACATTTGTTAGTTTATTGAAAATTTATTTCTTTATTACAAATAACAAAAACTATCCATATTTTATAGATGCTATTACTACATTTTGAAAACAAAGGATAATTAGCTTTGATTTTAGGGACTTTCAAGTGCTCTATTAAATAGCATGCTAGATCCTCATTCTACTTATTTGGAGTATATTTTCTGTCAAAAGCTTAAGAAAGAAATAGTAATAAAATACTGCATTGTTATGATTAGTGTAACATTACAACTACCATTCTTAGTATGGATCAGTAAAATAATATAATTTACAATCTTTCCATATTCATTCATAATAACTCATTTCAGTTATAAGTGAAAATGTTTGTCTTTTAAATAAAAGTATGTGTAAATTCGTAAGAAGATTATACCTTATGTCAAATAATATTAACATTTTAATTGTACTGTTTTCGCTGTTGTTTCTCTTTAATATTTTATTTAATGTTATCAAAATTAATATTTATCACTTATTAAAAACTATTTATGTCTTGTGAAAAACATGACATTGTCAGTATGAAAGAAAAAATACCTTCATACCAAGAGTGGGCAAATTTTATATGCTATAGGCCTCATAAATATTGATAGAACATGCTAGCAAGAAACATGCTAGACCAAATCAGAATTACATTGAGTAATGAACAGAAATTAAGTAACAAACAGTGGAAGATTTTTTTTTTTTTGTTAAATATTTAATAATAATTTCTTGCTAACTAACAGGCCTTTTGTACAGATAAGACCTATTTATGAATTCTATAATTTTCCTCATGTAACTGCAATGTTTCTGTTTGTACATTAAGTGTAATCATTCATTTTTGTAGTTTATAAAAAAAATTTATTGTTTCATATCAAGTTTATTCACCTATATTAATTTTTATTAAATATTGGACAAACATCAAAACTATTAGTTATGAAAAATATGTAATTACGACTTAATAATAATTATATGCTTACATACTTTGTTAATTTTTTTTTTTTATATCAATTTCTACAATAAATTAATCTAGTTGATTTTTATGAACCCAACATAGGATAGAGGAAATAATTAATTCATCGAAAAAATATACCAATATTATAGAAAAAAAATATATTTCAAGGCAACTAATGGAACACACACACATATATATGGTGGTTTTGGTTTTGAAAAATACAATAATATTGATTAAAATGTTAATTTTTTCCCAACTCATTTCACAGATTTATTTTGTTCCTTTAAGTATATTTTTATTATTTATAGTATTTTTTATCATATTTCCTGACTTGACTACTATTTTTAACCTACACAGTAGGCCTTATATAAGGCCTTTGCTAAAGATAAGATAAAGGCCTTTGCCCACTCCTGATTTATATTTTTACATAAAAATAGATAAATTTTAAAAGGCTTGTTATTTCAATTTCAGTAGCACTAAAATGAAGATATGTCAATTTTAATAGTGTGAGTTAAGGTCAGAGTTATGTAAGTCGATTAATCTTCATATTAAGAAACAAAAGTTGTTACCAGAATTTTTGGGATAAATTTTTAATTCCAACTGATTTTTAAACAGAATTATGTTCATTTTATATTTGCTTTATTTTAAACACCTTAAAATGGCATAATAGTAAATGTTATACAGCAACTAACATTTTTTAGGTTGATAATAATTTTTAAAAAATAGCCAACAAATTGACAAGATATTGGCATTTAGACCAAGGGTGTCCAAAAGGGGGTTTCATGGCACAAGTTGCACCATCATAATTTTTTAGGAGGCATATCTTGACGTTTTTTTTTTTTTTTGAGGGGAATATATCTTGACGGGGTTTTGAATTTTTAAGGGGATCACATTTCAATGGTGTTATGAATTTTTGGAATGAAAAGTGTCATTCAAAGAGACAAGAGGAAAACATGGAACAGACTGATAGCGTAATTGTATATGGTTCTTGATTCTTGCA